GAACTACATGACTCGACGTTGATTACATAACATACGGTTATTCGGTCAAATAGGGGTTACGAAAAAATTCGTCAAAAATTCAATTCTAAGTTGCCCCAAAATTTTATTTGATCAATAGCAAGGGAAAACATATTTCTTTGATCTGGTTATGAATTTTTGTCTGAATCGATGTAACAATGGAGATATTCGCTGCCTAATATGGCATATAATAAAGAGGTTCGAAAATAAAAAACATTAAGAAAATCTGTAAAATATTCACTTTTTACAGAAATGTCTCTAAATTTCGTCTGCTAATCAATAAATATCTCTAATTTATAAAACGAAATCATGTTTTGTGAAATATTCCCATTAACGCGCAAAATAGAGCGATTTTGGTAGTGCCGTAAAATGACCTCTAAAAATCGAAAGTGGCCTGGGAAAACCAATTTCGACGTCTCTCTCCTTCAATATTTATCCGATCGAAATAAAACTTTCACAACATTAATACTTCATATAGGCCTACATTCTGACAAAGTTTGAAAGATTTTGAATTTTCTCATTTTACACGTCTTACCTGACTATTACAGACAACCGCTCTTAAACATTGGTTCCTTCCGAGCTTCGCTAATAGCCAATATTGGTTTTGCGAAGCTGGCTAATATTTCAGGCACTTATTGAGTCAAAGTTATTCAAACTAAAGTAAAAAATGGTAAGAACGATTTAGGCTGTAAATGCAGACCGTTGGAATATGAGTTCTTTGTAGGTTTGCAGGGCGATAAAACATATTGATTGTGGAAACACCACGTAAATTTATTACTGCAGTAAATTTATTAAATGTATTAAATTTATCAGGTAAATTTATTACTTTAAATTTATTAAATTTATTATTATTATTATTACTATTATTATTATTGCTGCCGAAGGCAGCACACTATTCTTAACATAAAGTATCGCGTTTACTTGTGTCCAGTCTCTTTGCCCGAGTTATGTATTGTCGAGATCTCGATTTTGTGTCCGTCTGTCTGTAAAGACGTCGTAATTTCGAGGAAATAATTAAGGCTTCAGGACGTTTCTTTAAACGAGGGGGAGGTCAAACTTTATTTTGTATTGCACACACAGTTGCGAGCTTATTTACATTTTCATGATGCAAAACATGGACAATATTTTCAATAATTCAGGTCAGTGGCGTAGCCAGCTCGATAAGTGGGGGGGACATATTCATATATTCGTGTTCTGCATTATTAATTTATTTCGAAATTGATTGTTTTTATGGTCTGTGAATACGAATATATGAATATGTCTCCCTCACTTATCGAGCTAGCTACGCCACTGATTCAGGTAACGATAGCTTTATTTCTTTTTGGTAATATATACATGCATGAAGGCATTTATATTTAGAACACCGTACTATGATTTCAGATTTCTCAATTTAGATTCAGCATGAATTTATCATGAATTTCAGAATTTGCCTTGCACTGATCGTGTTTATAGTTAATATACAAGTAGTCAAAAATATCTACTTTTAGTTTATTTGTTTTTGTGGTGCATGATGTCCCAAGGCGATGAGTTTATAGTGTTTATTCTACATGTTTATAGCAATGTGTTTTCAACACGTTTTAAAAACAAACGTGGAATGTTGTGTAGTAGGGCTTAATAATCAGGCTTAATATTATAAAGATATTCCTATACTATAGCAATCCAGTGTGGATTGTTGTCTGCAAGGGCGGATTTTCATTTTTTAAAAGGAGGGGACACAAAGTAGGAGGGGTGATCGAGCAAAATGTTTGGGGGGTTGAACACTATATAAGACCTCGGGGTTAGAAAGATTGTAGGGGGAGTTAACCCCAACTAACCCCTTCCCCCCAGTAAATCCGCCCATGGTTGTCTCACCGTTGTCTGCATATATTAACTTATCAGCAGTTACATGTAATAGCATGTCAACCGATTTTGTACAAGGTGTGACGGTCTGTAAAAATATACTATATTTTTTCGATAATGCTCACAATTTCTTTTTTATTATATAGTTTTGAAGTTCTGACTGAGTACAATCTTAATCATCACAAATGAATGGTGTCATCTGAAGCTGATGTATTAAATTAAACAAAAATGTCAGTTGTTCTGCGATAGATGTAACTTTGTATTATAGTATTTCTATACGAAATTGTTATTAAATTATACAGGTCCAATGATTCATTCAAGTATTTTTATCGTTTATGTATATATGAATATATGATATTGTACAGTATCCAGTGGCAAGCTAGTCATGGCAACTGGTCATACTATGCCTATGCTGATAAGTATGAAGTGATATTCCCTTCAAAATGCAACTGCAATTTTTGTTATGCAATGCAACATTGTATTTTGATACACTATTTTTCTATAACAAGGCTGTATTTTGGAACACTGTATAATACAATACAATACAATACTTTAATTTCGCTCTCCCCCAGGAGGGCTTTTCAGAGCCAAATACAATAATTTACAATACAATATAATATGTGAATAAATTAATTATACTATATCTATGGCTATAAAGTTAAAGTTTATAAAAGATGTCTTCGAAGTTTACTTTTAAAAATATTTATAGACGTGCTTGTTTTAATGTTCACTGGTAGAGCGTTCCAGAGTGAAACAGCACGGTAATAAAACGATCTTTGGCCAGTGGCACTTTTATAAAAAGGGATGTTCAAGGATTGGGAATTTCTGGTGCAGCGTCCACTTATACTGCCTCTCTTTACAAATTGCTTTGACAAGTAATCAGGGGCCGTTCCATTCATGCATTTGAACGTCAAGACTGCATCGCGGTAGAAAAGATGGAGCTTGACAGGAAACCAATGCAGTTCGTTCAACAATGGGGTGACGTGGTCGAATTTTCACTATCCACATTCGAATTCTCTGTCACGGACTCACGGTTGAACTGTTAGGTGGCCTTAATGATGCATTCGCAATAAAACGATCTTTGGCCAGTGGCACTTTTATAAAAAGGGATGTTCAAGGATTGCGAATGCAAGCATACTTGTATTCTGGAAGACTGCAATTAAGATGGCATTATGGAACATTATATTAGATGGCATTATGGAACATTATATTATGCAAGCTTGTATTATGGAACATTAAATTGTGTATTATGCAAGCTTGTATTGTGAAATACGCGACGCGCGAGACGAAACACGTGCTCGTTCGAACCGCGTGTTTATAACTGGAACATTAAATTGTGAGAGCTTTTATATATTATGCAACATTAAATTGTGAAAGCTTGTATTATGCAAGCTTGTATTGTGAAATACGCGACGCGCGAGACGAAACACGTGCTCGTTCGAACCGCGTGTTTATAACGGTCTTGAAATAAAAAATGGCTGATCAACAAACAAACACAGTTCAGTCAAACTTTACACAAGTTGTCAGCTTGTTGAAACAAGCGGAATCTTTGCTTTCAGGTGTATCTAATATAGTGATAACACAGTAGCCATTAAGGCCACCTAACAGTTCAACCGTGAGTCCGTGACAGAGAATTCGAATGTGGATAGTGTGCCATCAGTCGCGACAACGTCGACAAGTTCTGATAGATCCTTGGCGAACTTTCGCTCGCTTTTTTCCATTTACAACCGTGGGTCATTTCGGCAAAATTCATCTCGTGCGTCTTCGGCTCCACCGCCAAAACGAAAACGAACACTTGTATGGTCTGATGTATGCCAGTACTTGGCATAATCAGGATGCCTTTCTCAAAAAGGGCACAGAGTAACCAGATGGTGGTAGATGTATTACAACCAAATCTTTATTGCTTGCACCGCTGCGAAGGATTTCGAAGCCACCACAATTCTGAAGTTTGGGGAAATATTCTTCGAGTTTGGCCACAAAAGCAGATGCACTACCATCTTTTTTAAAAACTATTTTTTTCTTCCTAACCCAGCAAGCTGAAAGTCACATTTTTGTCCTCGAGTTGGTTGATAGTTTTGATGGCGATCAGCCAAACAAAAGAATTCATGGGTCCACGTATCTTTGCCCCACTTTGGGTACAAACTGAGAAAGTGTTCGTTTTCGTTTTGGCGGTGGAGCCGAAGACGCACGAGATGAATTTTGCCGAAATGACCCACGATAGTAACTGGAAAAAAGAGAGCGAAAGATCGCCAAGGATCTATCAGAACTTGTCGACGTTGTCGCGACTGATGACACAATAGATAGCTTAAGATCTACGACGTCGACGTCAGCTAGGACGTCAGGGCTAAGCAGAGGACTGGGACTACATTATGACGACATCCTAGTCCCAGTCCTCTGCATAGCCCTGACGTCCTAGCTGACGTCGACGTCGTAGATCTTAAGCTATCCACATTCGAATTCTCTGTCACGGTTGAACTGTTAGGTGGCCTTAATGATGCATTTGTATTATTAGCTAGTGTGTTATCACTATTAGATGCACCTGAAAGCAAAGATTCCGCTGGTATCAACAAGCTGACAAGTTTGTTTGTTTGTTTGTTTGTTTGTTTGTTTGTTTGTTTGTTTGTTTGTTTGTTTGTTTGTTTGTTTGTTTGTTTGTTTGTTTGTTTGTTTGTTTGTTTGTTTGTTTGTTTGTTTGTTTGTTTGTTTGTTTGTTTGTTTGTTTGTTTGTTTGTTTGTTTGTTTGTTTGTTTGTTTGTTTGTTTGTTTGTTTGTTTGTTTGTTTGTTTGTTTGTTTGTTTGTTGATCAGCCATTTTTTTTATTTCAAGACCGTTATAAACACGCGGTTCGAACGAGCACGTGTTTCGACTCGCACGTCGCGTGTTTCACAATACAAGCTTGCATAATACAAGCTTTCACAATATAATGTTGCATAATATATAAAAGCTTTCACAATTTAATGTTCCATAATACAAGCTTGCATAATATAATGTTCCATAATGCCATCTTACACAATTTAATGTTCCAAAATACAAGCTTGCACATTGCAGTGTTCCAGAATACAAGCATGCTTGCATAATAGAGTGTTCCAAAATACAGCAAGATTCCCAGCAAGCCTTTCGCGCTCGTATTCGACTTTTCGAATTCCGCTTTGGCGCTTTGCTTGGGGACAACCTTATAAATTGAAATAGCTGTATATAACATGATATTCCAACAGTCTGCATTTACAGTCTAAATCGTTCTTACCTTTTTTTACTTCAGTTTGAATAACTTTGACTGAATAAGTGCCTGAAATATTAACCAGCTTCGCAAAAGCAATGTTGGCTACTTGAAGCTCGAAACCAGTGGCGCCGCCAGCTCGATAATTGGGGGGGGGGAGGGGGTGAATATTCATATCTTCGTGTTCTGCATTATTAACGATTTTTGAAATCGATGGTTTTTATGGTCTGTAAACACAAATATATGAATATTCGCCCCCCCCCCCTAATTATCGAGCTGGCGGCGCCACTGCTCGGAACCAATGTTTGAAGTCTGAAGTCTGAAGTCCGACGTCTGAAGCGCAAAATACAGATCCATACGGAAGGGCCACTTATGTCGGAAGCTTTGAAGTTTCTGTCCTCGCACATGTCGCATTAAGCATGTTGACCGACACGTTGCACCGCCGAGTGGCCCTTCTGTTACTGATCTTTATTCCCAGTGTCTGAAGTCTGAAGTTCGAAGTCTGAAGTCCCTTCACGGCTTCCGTATGTTTTAGCCCTAAACCAAAGTTAAATAACTTTAAATATTGTTTTCACGAAATTAGTTAAAGTTATGACGAAGTTATGTAGTGGAAAAAGACGATTAATAGTATTCAATACAGGGTGTCCCAAAAAACCCAAAACTATTGAAATATTTTTAACGTATATTGTTAGAATTTGAATGCCTCAGCACTTTGCTGAACCCACATGCAAATACATCAAAGCTTGACATAAATAAATTTTATGAATAAGGAAACTGTTTAAGAAGCTGCTTTAAAGATATTTTAAAGATATTTCCTTAAAGATATTTTAACTTCTTAATAAGTCAATATTTAATATATGCACCCTGTCAATATTTTACGCATCTTGCGTTCAGCTTAGGGACGGACCATTAGAAAAGTGATGGGGGGGGAGGGGATTTTCTAAGAGGCAATATTTTTTTTTTTTGTACACCTATAGAAGAAATATATTTTTTTTCTCACTTGATGGTTGGAAATATTTTTTTTTTAAGTGAAATTTATAGGCCTATCAGTGGTGTAGTCCTGGAATTTTAACAAGGGGGGCTCTCCAAAGTGTCCTGAATTGGCGGGAGGGGTGTACAATAAGATATTTTGGAAATTCTAAATTTTGTTGGGGTTTATTCTAAAAATTGTGGGACAAACATTCGACGTTATTCTTATTAAAAACAAAGGGGCTGAAAGCGAGGGCCGAAGGCCCGAGGAAATTTTTAAATTTAGAGTCTCTGAAATGCCATTTCCTGGACTTTGGGGAAGATTTGACAGAATTCTGATGGTCAGAAAACAGCGTTTTAGTATGTCGAAATTTACAATTTAGTAGTATTAAATGGGCGAAGGCGTATTTAGTTAACTATATATTGGATAAATTGCAGGAAATTATAGGTAATATCTTCATTCTTTGCAATTTGTCATGGATAATGTACAGCTTACAATTAATCAATTGTCAGTGTTTTAAAGATATATTATTTAAATGTATCGAGTAGCTAAAGATTTGTCCTTGGCACATATGGTAAAGACTCTACAATGTTTGCCTCTGACCGTATAGTGATGACGTAAACTTTATATAGGTCTATGCGCCGAGGGGACTGACCTAACCTTGGCAGCCTATACTTGCAATGGGGGGCGGTGAGCTAACCTGTGCCTTGCCTGCGGTAGGAACGAGTGCTGCCTGCTCTCTCAGGCAAAATGTCTCTTCACCCTGCTGACGAACGCTAGAGGACACATGATTTTGTCAAAAGAATGATTATTAGCAAATTATTGGGGGGGGGGGCTGCAGCCCCTGTTGAAGCCCCTCCCGTTGAGGCCTACAGCCCTGGATAGAGTTTAAATCAGACAAAACAGGATCGGTATTTCAACAGCCAATTTGCTACGGCGCATGAACAACGCGGTATAAAGATTACAAAAATCATTATTGTGTTAAATGATGACTGAAAATGAGATACAATTCTAAAGAACATTCTCGTTTACTGATATTTTTGTGTGTGTTTTTGACGTTGTTAAGATTATGCAACGCGCCAAAAACATAGGGGGCTCAGCCCCTCCAAGTCAACATGAAATTTTAACAAGGGGTGCTAAGCACCCTCGAGCCCTCCCTCCACTACACCACTTGGCCTATCTTCTAAGCAAGAAATTTTTTTTTTTTGCACTATGCCTGGGAAGATTTTTTTTTTCTTAATTTTTTTCTGGAAATAAATTTTTTTTTTGGTTTTGCCCCCCCCATCACTTTTCTAATGGTCCGTCCCTTAGTGCTAGGGCATTCAAATTTTAACAATACGTTATTATACCCTGTACTGTACAGTATTTCAAATTCAAATTAGCTGTAACGTATTGTAGTAATTTGACAGCTCTAATTGCCTTGAATTAATGGTTAGGTAAGAACACAAAGAATACTGTATTTCTTTTAAATTTTCTAATTTTTATTTCTTTGAGTTTTGTCCCATGAGTACAAGACCTAGTCTTCTTATCCAACCATTAATTTAAAGAAATTATAGCTGTCAAATTACTACAATACGTTATAGCTAATTTGAATTTGAAAAACCATTGAAATAACATATTGTTAAAATTTGAATGCCCTGGCATGCACTAAGCTGAACGCAAAGATGCGTAAAATATTGACAAGGTGGCATATATTAAATATTGACTTTTTAAGAGTTAAAATATCTTTGCAAAGCGCGCGATTCTCTGCTCTTGGGAATTTAAAACAGCTTCTCAAATGTTTCTTTATGCATAAAATTTACTTACGTCAAGCTTTGATGCACTTGTGGGTTCAACAGAGTGCTGAGGCATTCAAATTCTAACAATACATTTATTTCAATAGTTTTCGTTTTGGGGGGGACACCCTCAGGGTGTCCCAAAAAAACCGAAAACTATTGAAATCACCAATAACAATTTAATTGTTAGAATTTGAATGCCTAAGCACTCTGTTGGTTCCCACGAGTGCATAAATAATTACAGAAGTAAATTTTATGCAAAAAGAAAGTATTTAAGAAGCTGTTTTAAATTCCCAAGAGCAGAAAATCGCGCACTTTACAAGGAGACGTTCTTAACTAAATTTTAATACATGCACCTTGTCAATATTTTACGCATCATTACGTTCAGCTTTTTGGTAGGGCATTCAATTTTAACAATAAGTGATTTCAATAGTTTTCGGTTTTTTTGGGACACCCTGTACAGTATATGGGTCTCCCAAAAAATGTACCTTTTGAAATCAAGCCTTTGTCGGAATTTGAATGCCTTATGACTATGCTGAACCCACGGGTGCGTGAAACAAAAGTTATACCGGGTGTCTAGAAAAACACTATGGGAATTCACATAGGCGTCGAAAGATCGATAAGTGGGGGGGGGGACCATATTCATATATTCGTGTTCACAGACCTTAAAAACAATCGATTTCAAAAGAAATTAATAATGCAGAACACGAATATATGAACACTTACGATCTTCGATGCCTATGGAAATTCAACAGGCTGTCGTGCATCACAAACTTAGCTAAACAGTTCAATTTTTACATAGAACGAAAGAGCTGTTATTTAGCTTTTCTATGATACCTATTTAAAATCGTAACGATGAGAAATGGCCACATATATACTCGTCAAATAAAAGTTAGTCAATCCAAAAGCAACGAGAGCCTGCTGCAAGCTATTTGTTTCGTAAAAGGTTTTGATTACGAATGTTCTCTGTTCAGGAGTTAATTGAACCATGTGTAATTGGAGTTCTTATTGAGTTATTGTCTCACTAAGACGAACATTGACGAGTTGAGCTCATTTTAGATCATTTAACATTCAATAGTTTAATTCCCTCTTGGGAATTGTCTATGTTTCGTTTTCCGTGCAATTCCCAACGGTGGCAGAATGTGATTTCGACCGGCAATTTTTATTTGACGAGTATGTGGCCATTTCTCATCGTTACGATTTAAAAAGAGTATTATTGAAAAGCTAAATAACTGTTCTTTCGTCGTATGTAAAAATTTAATTCTTTAGCCACGTTTATAATGCACAACAGCCTGTTGAATTTATGCCGCTCCGTTGCGGACAAAAAAGCGTAATTAAAAAATTATTCCAAACTAGTGTATTTTATTCCAAAAATAAAAAAATTAAGCCAATTTTTAAAAAATGCTTCCAAAAATGTTTTAAATCTTCGATCGGAAATACAAAAAAAAAAACATTCGAAATGAAAATCTTGTCGACTGGAAGCGGAAGTGCGAACTGCAAAAAAAATTTGATGAAAACCGGAAATTGGTCGATACAAAAAAATCTTGTCCAGTGGAAACGCAATCTCGTGCCCAGAGCAATGCCTGTGCGCGGGCTAGGAAGGCATTGGCTCTGGGGAAATTGACAACCGGTTCTTTGTCGGCATGCACGATTGACAAACGTTAAACCAATCACAGAACAGGAAAAATTCAATTTCCCCAGAGCCAATGCCATCCTAGCCCGCGCACAGGCATTGCTCTGGGTACGAGATTGGTGGAAACGGAAGTGCTATTAGTAAAACGAGGAACACCGGAACACGGAACACCGGAACAGCACATTCTGGAATACGGAACACCAAAATTCTTAATTTGTTAAAAATTCGAAATAAAAATTCCAGGGGGTAGATGAAACTATTGCCTACTATTTCCTGTTGCATACTTGAACGACGCAAAGGATGGATTGTGGAATATTCGTTGTCAGAAACATATACTCTGATGCACGATTTAAAAACCAATCGGAGTTTTCAGATTTACTTTATTTTTGGGCATATATACGTCCCAGAGGAGGAATGAGCGTCTTCCCACAATGCATTGCGTCTCATTATTATTCACAACTACGATTTTTGGCAAACGTTAACGAAAAAGTTGTTGAAATATATTGCGATTTTTGGCTCTGAAGACCTCGTTTTTTCGAAGGTATGTGATGATAATTGTTTTGTTTGGACATCTAATTAAACAGTTTTATATTTTTTTGGTATAGATATTGCTTTTTAGTTATGCTAATTACGTATTGTATTTATGCTTGTTTCGGGTCAATGGACACGCCAAAAAAATGGCTTTGAAATAACGCAGGAGGGAATTACCTTTTTTAATTATGAGAAAAGTAAAAAAAAAAGTCATCAGATTCAGGAAGACTTGCTCTTTCTGTTGGTTCTTTAAAACGCTAAATCGCTCCTCCAAATCGACAAGCAATCGCGGTTTAAAAATGGGGTATTTTTGCTATATTTTAATGCCGATGGCGGGAAGAGACCGGGTGTTAATCCTTACGGCGCGAAGGAAACTATTTTATATGATATCTTTGAAACATACGCATGTAGTTGTTGCATATTTTGAGTGTAATGTTACCTTTAAAATTAAGGTCAGAATGTTAGTTTACTGTATTGACTGTACTTTTGTCATTTTGTTATAGAATTCGGACATGGAATCATGCAGATAGTAGTGATGTTGTCATTGTTGACGAATGAAACGATACTGCCATATTAAAAGCGAGTATATATATACGAGGGTATATACGTCTAAAGGTGATACCCCAGGGAAACCTAATAATAAGAGACACAGAATTTCACGTTTGAAAAATTCAACATCAAGTCGAACTTTGTTTCAGAGTCCTGGAACATCACCAAAGGTATGAAAGTACAAAGGTTTTTCAAACATAAAATACAGTACAACTGTACAAAAACATTGTATTTTAAACCTTTTAAGTGGCCATGCGCCCTGATGCACCCTACTTTAGTTTTTTACTCTGTCTAACGCTAGACGATTTTACTCCTCAAGTGCTGCCACTCAATGGGTTAATGAGACAATGAGATGTGAGTTTTCTCGAAATCTGAGAAAACTGTATTTGCCGCCAATGCGAAGTCTTTTCTGTGCATGCAGGAAGCACGCGAAAACGGGCAAAATTTTAAGAATTCCGGTTCAAATTCCCCACCCCGTTATCAAATGCCCCACCACATGGAAGACCTAGAACGTCAAATTCCCTACTCCCTGGAGAAGACTTGAAGTCAAATTCCCGGGGTATGCCCGGGGGGCCGGAAGATGAAGTTTCGAATTGATCGGTACATAAAACTATAAACATGAACCTCACGACATTCAAGTTCATCACACGGTAATCCTTCCGAAATTAAGATTAAAGGCTGTTTTGATACACAGTGAACACACATCAGAACACACAGAAGCTCGTGTCCACCAAAAACGAAGCTTTCTTTCCATGCATAGTGCAGAAATTCACCATTTTCCAACTTTTTTTCTATAAATCTTTTCTGAATCTCTTGAAACCTCGAGGTGTAAACACAGCAAAAGCCGACCGAACAATGACGGCGCAGAGCGAGAAATCGATAATATAAAAAACCGCGCCTGACCTCGTGGCATGCCGGTATAGTCCTCACTCCTCCTCTGTATACGTCTTGTCATTCGGAAAGAAAAATTGTGGTAGAAGACTACTTTGAAATTGTTACATTATGAATTTTCTTCCATACATTTTTATTCGCCATTTTTCCCGGATTCGTAACTTATGATTAGGGTATAGGGTTAGGGTTGGGATCAGGGATTAACTTTCGTGTATATAGGGCATGGAATTATTACCCGAAAAATATGACAAGGCTATGACGTTTCAATAACGCCACATACCGTCTCTCTTTTTACTTCGTTCCAGACTTCGCGAGCCACACCCGGCCAAGCAGAATTGAATTGGACACATGCAAAATGCGACGTCTAAAACAGGTCGCACTTAGTTCGCATTATGCGAGCGGTCGGGTCGAATTTAAAGTTAAGGTCGACCGCAATTAAAAACGTTGAAAATGTTCTCGAGTGTGTATATCATAATTTCCAGCGGACCGTGCGGCAAGCAGAAAGATATTGCATGGCGCGGCTGGGTTTTGAACCCGCGACCTTCGAAATACAAGATCGACGCTCTACACGGTCAGACGGATTTAAGACTGGAAATGATGAACTATATACTAAATGTCATAAACATACTCGTTTATAATTCAGCATCGAACAATGCTAGTTCTGCAAGTGTTATGTTATGTTATGTTATGTTGTGTTATTGCATGCACATAATTCAAGCAATTGCATGAATTGGACACATGTGAAATTTGAAACAGGCCTTATATACTGATTGGCAACGTGCAAGATGGTCACTTAGTCAGATACGATTTCATGAACACATTGTTTGCACTGTGCCATAGTTTGGATTTTTTACGCTGTATTTTATAATCATTTGTTTAATATCAGCGATATGCACATACTGTATGGATGTACTGTAAGGGTTTAAATATTTTTAAGATCTGCTGTTCGTTCGCTCTTGTGAAGTTAATTGTGTGTCGCTATTGAACTGACCGTCAGCTTTCGAAAATCGGATGTATAAGTTTCTACAAACCGCTCTGTATAATGGCCAGTGATATATTTCACGAGCAAGCACTTGAAACCAGCCACTTTGAGGCCACAGTCCAGATCTTATAATTCATTATTTATTAGAATATATCATTAAAATTTTGGCTTTTTACATATATACTTAGATGACAGGTTGGATTTCGTGTGAATTGTTTCTGAATATACAAATATTGGAGGTACCTCCAATACTACACGTGTAGTATTTCCATACATCTTGCTTGACTGCAGCTTTCTGCAGCTAGGCACCGGCCGGATAATACTCCTATATTTAGGAGCCATTTTGCGCAAAACATAACAATACGATTGCCAGAAATTCAACTAGATTGTAAAGACTTTTGCGCTTTTTCCATTTAAAGGCAACAAAGCACCACATTACTTACCCGAGTATTGGGAAATCGAAATTTTTAAGATATATATTCACCAATTCAGACTGATTTCACTAATATTTCACACTGTAAAATCATACTTTTTGCGTTCCTGTTTTTAAAGATTCCGGCTTTTCGCGTTCCTGTTTTCCGCATTCCCCGTTCCGTTCCCAGATTCCCCGTTCCTGCTTTTAAAGATAGCCATTCCGTGTTCATGTGTTTCTGGTTTTACTAATAGCACTTCCGTTTCCATTGACAAGTTTTTTTGTATCAACCAATTTCCGATTTTCATCGAATTTTGATTTTTGAATGTTTTTTATTTTTTCGACGAGGTTTTTATTTCGAATGTTGTTTTTTTATTTCCGATCGAAGATTTAAAACATTTTGGCAGCATTTTATAAAAATTGGCTTAATTTTTTTATTTTTGGATTAAAATACGCTAATTTGGAATAATTGTTTAATTGCGCTTTTCTGTCCGCAACGGAACGCCATATGAATTTTAGACACCCTGTAACATTTTGAGTTATTTGGTCTAGATTAGCACATATCTTTCAAAATTTGCTCTCATTGCCATTGGCAATTTTATTAACTTTCAAAAACTAAAAATTTGCGTCGCGTTGTCGAATCGCGTCCGGTGTGTCTGGACCTTGTCTGGGCAATGGATCAGAGCGTCTTATAGGCCTGTTTTATACGTCGAATTTCGGTCGCGTCGAATGTAATTCGAACAATAGATAATGAAATCTAATGAGTTATCATCTCATTATCTATTGTCTTATTCGACACGACCAAAATTCGACATATAAAACGAGTCTTAAATAATGATATACATCGTCATTGCTTTAAGAATATTTTTAGCCAATAATTGTGACATTGGCAGGAAATCGCATGCACATGACCTTGTAATGTACAACAAAGCATGAATATGACACAACATAATGTCGCGTTTTGCTTTGCTTCAAACATTATTACATAAATCCACACGATTAGTTATAATACTGATGTAAATACCGCCTAAATCATTCTTGGAAGCACGATGCAAGCAAAAATACCATGCATCCCTTTATTCTTTAATTTTCGTATAGATCACAACATACCAACAAACATAACCGACACGACTTGAACGCCGAGTCGAACGCCGCGAAGACCATGCAAAGAAATTATATACCATAAATAGTCCTCAGTTTTTCTCTCCAGATAGGTCTTACGTAAAGCGAAAACGAAATATTTCCATTATAAGTAGCAATTTCTTGATCAGTGAACATCTGAACAGCAACACAACAGCGCTTCACACGTACGCAGGGTGCCATGTTGTTGAGATTTTAGTTAACATGTCAACGCTATAACGAATTTTCGATAAAACTTACCCAAAATTCCATTTAAAATTAAACCAAATAGGAGTAAAACAATCAAAGCAAAGAGCTTCATTCTAGAGACATCTGAGCTGTTTTCAAATGATTCTATATAACAATTCTTCGCTCGTACTTCGGTTATCTATCTTATAGAGTACGAAATGTAAAGTTCAGTATGGTGAAATTCAATCGGCTTAAGCACTGATGTAGGAACTCACCAACTACGTCACTGACATTGATAGCTTTCAGATTTCATACATTTCATTATGAACTTTGTCGATTCAGGTTGAGACTGGTCGACAGACGACATGTTTTAAATCGTAACATCTCTATAGATTCTGTATACATTGGTCGACATGTCCACATGTTTTAATTCAAAAATTTGAAGTCGATTTGTAGTTCTTGGTCGACAGGTTCGAAACTTGTAGTTCTTGGTCGACAGGTTCAAATATGTATTTCTCAGTTGACAGGTCAACATGTTTCAACAATTGTATATTTAGTATACTATGTCGACAAGTCGACAGCTGGTTTTAATTAAATTTGTAGTTCTAGGTCCGCAGGTAGCGGTTAGGGTAACCTGAAGTTCAGGCCCTAATTTGAAATAGGGCCTGACACAAAACCTGTCTAGACCGTGGGACGCCCACATGTTATTTTTAGACACACATGCAATATGATTGACAAGTGTTGTAGATTTCGTTACACAAAAAATTTATATTCTCATGAACATGTCCGCAGAGCATTTTGCTTTAAAAACTAAAACTAACTTTATTAAACTTAAAAATTCAAGGTACTTTTATATAATTAAGAGTCTGTTTCTCTATTTAACCGAACAGGCGAACAGCAAACAAAGATTTAATTAGTCAGTTCTGTGCACGGCTTGACTGCCAAGCTTTCTCAAGGTCTCAACTTGCTGGACGCGGATATACTCTAACGACTAACGGGCTAATAACAGCAACAATTAAATTCTCAATCATACCACGAAGAAGGCGATGTAGCTCAGACAACAATTACGCCGGTAGGACCTGATATTAAAAATAAGACTTTTGCCGGCGAAGCAAGTTGGCAGAACATCTTGGCTGTCAACAACAAGCTTTCGAATACATGACTAGTTTGGCTGTTCTTTCAGCGTCGTGTGTGTCCAAATTCGTCAAAGATTTTGATGAAGCCCTTTCAAAATACTGTTTGTTTGATTTATTTTCTGCCATAAAGCATAAAAGAAAAGAAATTCGAAGAAATCGATAATGGAATTTGTTACGTGCGTTTGACCTTTATATTAATTATCGCCTTGACCGAGCTATTTTTAAAACTGTTGTTTATGTGAACTTGCAACCAATCAAAATCCTTCATAATGCTGATCAACCAATCAGATTTCCCGTCCACCAGGTGGACGGGAATCCACACTTTAGATAGGTTTTGTGTCAGGCCCTATTCTGTGATAGGGGGTATTTTGAAAATCTTTTCCCAATCTTCCACAGGCGGCCCGATCTTGGGTCAGTGTACTTACCTACATTATGGTAAAAATATGTTACATGCAAAATATATATATTTTAAAATGAAATTTACTCGGCTATTTGATATACTGTGATATGTATACTAGTAGCGGCCGGAGCCATCGAGTGCAAAGTCTTGGGAAATATTAGCCCAACAAAAGAGAAATAAAAGGAGAATACACACTATCAAATAGGCAAGTAACTTTCATTTTAAAATACATATGTTATGACATATTTTACTATAATATGCATTTTAAGGGCATTCCTTGCTTAGGGGCCCCTTTTGATCTGGGACTTAGGGCAAAGTGCCCTTCTGCCCCCCCCCCCCCCCACACACACACACACACTCGGCGGCCTTGGCCTTGGTACCTGCTTCCTTACCGAACAGCATCCAAATTTTTTAATAAACTTCAGAGAGCGGCGAAACGGCGAAGAAAGATGCTACATTAAGACATGTGCAACTTGTTTTTTAATCAATCGTACTGTCGTTTGAGTTATAACCTATTGATAAAAAAAGTTTAAAAAAATAGGCAAAAACGAACATAATTATACCTAATATTGTAGGAATGCATGCACCACCATATCCCAAGGCGCAAATCACAACTGTGAGCACGGAACATATGTAAAAGATAAATTGCAATCAAATCAGCAGATCTTTTTCTTAATGGTAAAATACAATTATAAATTTTATTTCATTAAAAATTCACTTCACGTTTTTGCTTTGAAGTATCCCATTTTAAATTTCTGACATTTTCTCCATTGATAACCATTTGTAAATCAACAACCTCGTGATCAGCAAGAATTTTCCTAAAGATTCTAGAAAGTGGAGAAAATTCACTCGTCTTCATCGTGTGAAAGCGAATCTTATAAATTGCATCACCAAGAAATTTTCTTCTACTTTCACGGGCTTCCTCAAATTGTAGTAAGGTACAATTACACAAGTAGTAAGCCCAGTTTAGTACAGCATCGAATATTGCTTTTTCGTCAAAGAGAAGTGTATCGCGTGCTAGCAAAGCATCCAAAGTGGGTTGCTTAATCTTCAGGAAATATTCCGAAATGAAAACATTTCCTGTATATTTGTCTATATACCGCCAGCATACTTCCATCATCGTATGTTCTTGTAATTCCAAGAATTTTTCAATAAATTTAAACGCTTGTGATTTTGTAATCGTTTCTTCCAAATCATTTCTACACTGCTATATCAAACGATGGGATTTCATATTTTTTGTCAAATTTAGAACTTTAAAGATTATACCAATATCCTTGGGACATTCATCTTTATATAGAAAAGCCAAGAAGGCTGCCACTACATCTTGGCTTATATCAGGTAAGCTCAGGTAAATCAATAATCGGCGAGCGAGTCCTTTCTTTTTGAATCTCCATAAAACATTTGCTGAAATACAGTAGCTAACATGTATTTATGAGCATATAGAACTGATTCGTCGTCAGGATGACAGTTTTTGTAAGTAAACTTGATATCGCTCATGACTGGATTGTTATACATGTGAATGCTTCGTTCATGGACAGTATTCTTGTTTACCTGCCATTTCATATGAACACCATGATTATCATCGTTGGTACAATTACTTGGCCCTTTCATCACAAAAAATATAATTTCAAACAATATAATTGTAGTCGAGGGTTTTAATCTGTTTCGCCAAGCTTATGAAATTAATGTCTTCCCAAACTGTAATCAATGTTTGCATTTGCATATTGGCTGCAGCTGTCTGTCTGTCAACTGTAAAAGCGAACAATTCGAACATCATTGAATAATTATTCATTATCCTTCGTGATGACGTCATTGGATGATACCACATAAGACTGACCGGTTTCAGATATAAAACTGTTATTAACTGTACTTTTTCTCAACTGTAGCGGTTACAAAGTTAACTACAAATGTAGTTAACTGAAGTGAAAGGGGGTTCAAACAACCTACTATTATACATGGTGAAACAATCGGCAGCCAAGAAGATATATGTATTCACCACTGAAATTAATATAACTGGAACACAACCTTAAAATAAACTGCCGCTATCTTTTTCTTGAAGCCAAATCTGACCTCCAGACACGCGTATCTGCATGGAGGTCAGATCACGCGTGTATATGTCATAATTGACAGATTGGAACTGGTACTGGTCTTCAAGTTTGAAATTAGTCAAAAAGACTGGGAATAGTCTTCAAATTTGAGGGTGGAGGTAGCGTTCCAGTTCTATAATTATTCAGTTCAATGGCATTCACTCAAATGTGCGTTAATTAACAGTCTTAACAGTCGTAACACTTAAGAATGCGTATAAAGATAGTCTGACTCTGCTATCAAGCGATGTATTGTGTAGCTCAATATATATGTATGCAGATTTGTACTGTTTCGTCATTGCATGTTATTAAAGTATTATTTATATCCAAGCTGAGGCTGGCAACTTTCTGCCAAATGCTGTTTATGCATCAGGTAATGGTCACTTTAGTGAACTGGAAACTAGAAGTATAATATATATTAAACCGGCAATACCAGCAAGCTTTGACCATTCTTCATTATTCGATCTTTCTTATTTTTACATAATCACCATAATTATATAGGCGTTGGCGTTTAGAAGTGTCTTTGACTAAAACTTAATCCTCCGTTTATGCAAATTGACTTCATGCACATGGTAGACTGGCTTTCACGGATGAAAACACATTCTTACAGCTTTGCGTGAAGCAGTTGCAACAATCAGCAATAACTCAAAGGCTCTTAGAATTTGTTGGTTTATTGTGATTAAAATCACAGCTCGTTTAAAATCACAATAAAATCTTTGCATCATTTCGAGACAGATTTTTGTAACTATATAATTTATGGAAATGGTTCCATATATAGTCACGAAAATCTGTCTCGAAATGAAAGGCGATCCTCGGTTGAGCGAGTAACGTCAAAAATCTCAATTTGTTCCTATTACTTAAAATTCCTTTGAATGTTTATGGTTTAGGACATGCGCCGTTACTTGCCTTATTCATGGGCGTACGGGACCAGTCTTATTTGGGCGGGGGGGGGGGGGCACAGTATACTTTTCCCGAACAGGCAAACTTAACATTTTACAGGTCACCAAAAAATTTTGTCGGGACAGACGAAAAAAATTTTTTCGAAACATACCAAAACATTTTTTCGGGACATGCCAAAAAAACTTTTCCGGACATACCCAAAAACTTGCCAGTAACCTTGCCGACCGCACAAATTTTTGGGGGGCACGTGCCCCCCCTCCCCGGCGCATACGCCCATGGCCTTATTTATCATGTCATTAAAGCATGGTCACAGTATAGAGCAGACAACTATACTGTGGCATGGCGCCTGAGTCTAGTCATTTGTGCGCGTAAACACAAGTGAGCGCGCGCACTCAATTACAATACATTAAGTATATACGTCATAATGCACACGCAAAATCCCAGGTTTTTTCCTACTAATTGACATATTATTAAAGTAAGACAGAATACAAGTTAATTCAATGTCAGCTGATCAAAACTAATTAAGTAATATATATATATATATATATATATATATATATATATATATATATATATATATATATATATATATATATATATATATGTCTATTAGCGATAATGCAAAGCTCATTTCCCTTGTGGTCGTTTGAGCACTCTGGCTCCATTACGCTCTGCGCATGTCTGGATGCGTTGAGTCACCGTGTTGTACCACATGCCTTGGTGAGAGCAAGTTCATGGGGTATAAATACGAGTGTCTCACGTCTCTAGACGTGTACCAAGCTGCACTGACGAGGCGTTGAACGCCGAAACCATGCATGTCTGCAGATTGTACTATTACGCTCCTTCACTTCGGTGTTGTTGAGCACTCTGCGGAGTTGTTAATGGATGTCTATTAGCGATAATGCAAAGCTCATTTCCCTTGTGGTCGTTTGAGCACTTTGAGCACAACTGCAGTCAGCTCTCCACTTCCGGATAAGATGGACTACGTTGCAATCTTGCTTCATGTTTGTTCTTGTGTTGTATTTATTCTGCAACAGATCAGTCTAACGGAATAAGCAATTCCAGCTTTTAGTTTATGCCTGCAGGGGATGATGGGAAGTAAGGTATCATAGTGCTGATTATGCTGAAAATGTTCAATAAAAACTACCGAAACAACCAAAATATTTCACTATTTACAAGTATAAGCTATCACTCCGTGTTTACACGGTCACCATTTCTATTTTTTCAGCATAATCAGCAATGTGATACCTTACTTCCCATCGTCCCCTGCACGCATAAACTAAAAGCTAGAATTGCCTATTGGCTCACGCTGTGTTAGTGTTCCTGAGCCGTTTTCCTGTTTGTATTTTCCTTGTTTCGTGTTACGGCCGAAGTTAACAAATAAATAAATAAATAGTAAAACCAGAATTCGATACTAGTGCGTATACCGAAAACCTCCGACTATAAGCCCTGGGCTTATATTCTTTCATAAGCGATCGCGATTTTTGATGGGCATATACAAGGGGGCGAGGGGGGGGGGGTTATACATGGACGATCTTTTGTGTTAGTAATAAACAAGTTAGTCTGTCATAAACAGGAAAATAAACATGTATTAATAACGCGCTTAGATTAACATAGTAAGCTATAAAGACAATGACAATTTAAATATCGTTCTCTGCTATATTAAAAGACAATTAATGTCAATGTTGAATAACGTAGTGGGCTACTGGGCTTATATTCGGGGGGGGGGGGCTTATATTTGGAATGAGGTGAGCGTTAGTATATGTGGTGGGCTTATACACGGGGGGAGGGCTTATATTCCCGTGGGCTTATAGTCGGAGGTTGTCATATAAATATATTATGCGCGTGGGTGGTTAATAGACCATTTCAAAACATCAAGACAGTTGAGAAATAATGCAAGTGATAAGCGGACCACCTACCCACTACAAAATTCGGGTGAGTCGTGCAGAAATTAGGCAGTGAGCTCCATATGTATACTGGGGCGAAAACTCGAGTCCAAAAACTAAAGCGAAAGGTGGGGCTATTGACGTCAATTTCAGTCCCTTTCTATTGGTTTGTCCGCGCAGCCTAGTTCCTAGGCCTCTTAGTACGCCTATTGCGCGTTTCTGCATATTAGACAGATTTAGAAAAGACGACGTGACCTCAAAGACAACGTGGATGGCGTCATTTGGCGCCAACTATCGTCAGCTTCTGATTTGCCACGTCGTCTTGGACAATTTCACGACGCGAAAATTCAATTTTCACGTCCTCTCTAGAACGTCACAGATTTATGCTTCTTTTGAAAAAAATATGAGAGTATGCATGCATGATAAAAATCATCCTATTTTGTTCCCCAAGTATTGTTTAATGATTCTAGTTAAAGGTTTTTCATTGACAAGGTTGTTTTTCTTGTATTTCGCTAAATTTTGAACGTGTTAATTTTTGACAAATACTTTCGGTCGCCATATAAACAAATCAACACAACTGCAAGCATTGTTAATAACCACTTCAATACCGCTATGAAAAGTTCACGAATATTGAGTTTTATATATGATTCGGGTTAAATACAATAATTATTAACCTAGCTTTATATAAAATGTACATACATGTTCTAATAATTGTATGTTGCTTTATACAATGCATATGTGTGTGAAAACATTACATTCAGCTCACTTCCCTTTGGGGCTTTTCAGTCACCGCTTACATCAAGTATTAGGATTACTTATGTTAGTCTAGACTATTTATCTTTATAACAATGAGAACATGATATCACTTTTCTAACTGTGTTTATTCTAACCCACCCTGCCATATTTTGCCTTGTGGGAGGAAACCGGAGCAAAATATAAAATTCCAGCCTAGACCTAGGCCTTCTAGTCTTATTTATATTTTTTAATATTCAGCGTTTTTGTCCTTCCTTCGCCCCGCCCGCAAATTACCTAGCCCCAGTCTTTTCATGTGAAAAAGCGATGAATACTAAAAAGATATAAATAAAAATAGAAGGCCTAGGTCTAGGCTGATAAAATTCAATTCTTGAAAACACCTAAATTGCAATCCCTAAAATTTAGAATTTTCTCTTAAATCGCCTTAAATCGCAGTGCTTGAAAGTCCCAGTTTTTCCTTAAATCGCCTAAAATCGCCCAAAATCGCATTATATCACGGCGATTTAAGGCGATTTACCGCCCCAGAGTAGGCCTACCGCTAGTATTCTTCACCAAAACAAACATTTTAGAACAAACTGAAGTGAAGTTATATTAAAAACTGTTTAAAATCAGGAAAACTTGGGAAGATAGAAGAATAAAAGCAATTAAAAGCAGTAAAAACACAATCAATTTTAGTTGCTCTGTCACAACAGTGCGAAAAAGTAGGGGAAGTAAAAAAACGCTTTCCAGCTTGAAAAACTATCTTAAACAGTATTAAATTTTACCAATATAACCACTGATGCCTTATTTATACTAAACAGTTGACAAACTTGATTGAATAGGCTACAAACTAAAGCATTTAGCTCGTAAACAATACCTGCAGCTATAGTATTTATTCCAAATGATGCAACAAAGTTCACTTTTCAAAATACTAAAATATACGTCTTTTTCTAAAAAAAAACTTATTGAATGTTCATACTAATTCATCAGGAAACACTTGGCCAGTATTATATAGCCTTTTCTTGCACATAACTTGACAACTGATTGAAAACAATACAGGAATGAGCTAGTCTGTTGTCCGCGCAGCCTGCAAGGTGTGTACTGAAGTTTCCGATTTTGATTTCGAATTAAAGAATAATACTATGCCTATGGCCGTTTTATGAACTGATAACTTGATTAGCGATAGGCATAGTACAAAACATGGACTGGACTGGACAGTTGGACTGAACTGGACAGTTGGACTGAACTGGACTGTTGGACTGGACTGTTGGACTGGACTGATTTTTACATTTTCTCTATTCTTGACTTGCACGTCACCCGCCATGTCAGATGGAATGGCACAAAAGAATATTTTATCACAGAATAGATATACCATGTCATGTCTATTTTGTGATTTTATCGATCGGAACAATGTCTGGTGTGTACCAGGAGGAGATTGGTTGCAAGTCAAGAATATAACGTTTTGCACCTGAATTACTTTTGATTTTCGGAAATTGAAATATTTTACCTTCGCCGATGACCTCACTTTATAACTGGAGTGAAATCTCAGTAAGAAACTCCAGTAAGTAGAAGAGAATACAATACCAGACATAAACTACTTATCTGTCTTTGCTACGGGTAGCCTGCTCGCATACGTATTAAATTTCGATATTTCAGTCTGCATGGCCATGGGCGTAGGAAGATCGGTATTTTTGGGGGGCTCATATTCATATATTCATAAAGCATTAAATTTCAAAAGAAGTAAATGATGCAGAACACGAATATATGCCCCCCCAAAATATCGATCTTCCTACGCCCATGGCCATGCAGACTGGACTATCGAAATTTAATACGTATGCGAGCAGGCTACCCATAGCAAAGACAGATAAGTAGTTTATGTTTGGTATTGTATTCTATTCTACCTACTGGGGTTTCTTTCGCTTTAAGAGATTTCACTCCAGTTATAAAGTGAGGTCACCGGCGAAGGTAAAGTATTTCAATTTCCGAAAATCAATTCCGAAAGTAATTCAGGTGCAAAACGTTATATTAATGACTTGCACCAATCTCTTCCTGGTACACACCAGACAATGTTCATCGATAAAATCACAAAATAGACATGGTATATCTATTATGTGATAAATATTCTTTTGTGCCATGCCACCTGACATGGCGGGTGACGTGCAAGTCAAGAATAGAGAAAATCAAAAATCAGTCCAGTCCAACTGTCCAGTCCAGTCCAGTCCAACTGTCCAGTCCAGTCCAGTCCATGTTTTGTACTATGCCTTAGCGATAACATCTATTAGAACAACTGGAATTAGCTGGCAAAAATAGCCTAGAACTCTTTACGACCTTCATAGCTATTGGACGTCAATATCGCCATCTTGATCTCACTTTTCTAAGAGGCGGAAAGACTGGAGTTCCTGCTCCAGGTTTAGGACGCTGATGAATAAGGGCGCCTTTAAAGGCCCATTTACACGGTACGATTAGTTGTATACGATTCTTACTCTGGCGTATGTGATCGAATAAACACGCGTACAAACGTCACATTTCAAATTTCGCCATCAGCGAATGAGCAATAACGTGGCATTAGCACTCGTTTTCATTCGTCAGAATGACAATCGTATACAACTAATCGTATCGTGTAAATGGGCCTTAAGAGTGCTTTTTTCTGACAACTTATCCATTATTCAAGTGATGACTCCCGATGTAGTTACAACCTGACTGGTCTATTTTATTTCTTCATCACGACAAGGACACCATGCACTCCATGAAGTGTCTCAAGCAGGGACGCCGAAAGGTTGCGCAGGGTCCAGGGCAAAACTTCCCAAAGGGCCTCTATGACGTCATAATTGTAAAACGGGGGAAGTGGTGTTTCACAATATATTACACATAATTTATTGTATATTATCCCACACTTAACGCAGTTAGGATTTATATTCTGAGTTTAAATTAAGAAATCTTTTATCAAAAAAGGCCCTTCGTCGACCCTTTTGGGCCGGGGACCTGACGCAAAGTTCCCCCTTTTCGGTAAGCAGATGATTTTATTTTCCCAGGTGATCCATGGCTGACATCAAGCCAAACATATAGCTGAACCTTGAATTCTATAGCTGGCAATTCAAGAATGCAGAAGAAGACAGAGGCTTCATCCAACAAAACAGTGGAATCCCAGATTTGCTCTGAACTGCCATCAATGTTAGAAATAAATTAAAGGGTAAAAATTGCATAACGTTTTGTTATCATTGTACTAACCATGATTTTGGTGGTTATAATTAGTATAGGTAATCATGCGATGGCGAGTACAATTCGGGATTAATAGTACGAGTGATGTTTGGAAATTTTGCCAAAATTGGACGAGCCGCCGGGGCGAGTCCAATTTGGTAAATTTCCAAACATCACGAGTACTATTAATCCCTAATTGTACTAGCAACATCGCATGATTACTTGTTTATTATTAGCATGACAAAATTGGATACGTACTTCTCAATGTCAACATCACATTCTCTCGCCAAAGCCCAGTCCTGCCAGACTTTCAACCAAAATTTGGTGCTTTTGTTTGTATTTTCATTTAGTTCTTTTGTTCAAGCAAAATTTGGTACTTTTGTTCGTATTTCCATCTAGTTCCTCCACGGCAATTTCATTTCACATGTAGTGTTTAAAATACCTTTCCGCCATTTTGTTTGTTTTGGGAAAATCATTAATTGTACTGCAGTACAATTAATGAAATAATTGTACTCCTCTCAACCAATCAGCATCCAGTAATTTTGTCATGCTAATAATAAATTTAGAAAAACTGAAGAGGATGAGGGTGCTCTTCCAGAATTTGCGCAGACTAATATTTATGTAAAGTGCCAATTTTTCACTTTTAGTGGATTGGGTCATTCCAGAAAAAAAACCCGCTCCCCCTCCCACAGCGGGGATTTCTGCCATCCGGAGGGAAGGGGGTGGGGTGAAGAAAAATTTTGTTTCTCATAATAGTACATGTATTAGGACATCAGAAACATGTGTGTGTCCCCATGTGTGGGGGGGGGGGGGAGGGCTAACCTCCAATTCCCTATGGATGTTTGCTGAAGTGACCCATTTTCAAGTGTAGAGTGCATAGTTTAGTACTGCTCACAGGAAGTTCTAAGTATCAATATTAATGGCTTATTGACAGAGTGTGAGGTCTGTACTGTGAAATATCAGACCGAGGATTTTTAGTATGGATCGAGCGATAAAGGAGCGAGGTCCATGCAAAAAACAGAGGTCTGATATTTCACAGTACAGACCAAACAAGCGAGGTCAATAATCGGTTTATTGTATGGCTGAACTGAGTCTATGAGCATATACTTTTCATGCGAATCAAATCGACTATCGTCAGTTTCAATGGGAACAATATACGGTAGGCATGCATGTTCTTGAAATCAAAAACAATTTGGTTGTAAATGTTTGAAATTTTTATCTGTAAAGCACAATTGGAAATTCAAAAAGCAAAAATACGGACCACGGTCCGGATATGGGTTTTTACGGACCACTTGTCAACCAATCAGAATAGAGAATTTTGAAAAGCCATATAATAAAAGGAAATATTTGAAGTTTATATCTACACACGGAAAATGTTTTATTCTTAAGCTGTGCTGGCAGCAGGGCAATCCTTTCACCACTCACAGTGAAATTACTGATCTTTTGGAGTTGGCATGTCCACTATAGCTCCTGGTTATTAGTACAAGTCATATCAAATTTGATATCAAATTGCCATTTCAACATCTGCAGTTCTAGGGAGTACCTGTCCCAGCTTCATTCACAGTGCTTGCAGCAGGACATAATGACATGACTATGTCATCAACTTGTTCCAAGTAATTAAAATATTTTCCCTCAAGTTCTGCTTGAGCTTGTGTCGATAACACTCCCCTGCTCGTAACAGCATAGGTCAAGAACTCAGTTCTATAAATTTCCAAACAGCTAGAACAAAATCTTGCTTTGTGGAAATTGGTCGCACTAACTACATGACCACATTTGCCACTTTCTACTGTTCTTAGTGGGTGAGCCCTCCTGAGCAATTTCTGTCCAAATCTGTTACCTTTAACCAAAAGAGACTCAAGATGGTTGCATTTCGACAACAATAACCTTTGAGTGAGCTTTTCATCACCTAAATCAACAGCCGCATATTCCTGTAGCTTTGCAGCAGATATATATCTTGAAGTGACATCCAAAAATTTCGGCAACAATGACTGGTCATATTGGTTAGCATAAACTAGTAATGGCACAGCATTTGATTTTGTAATTTGAATTTCATTTAAACATTGAGTAACAACATTAACAGCTTGATATTCATCAGCCAATTTAAGAATATCCAAAATGTTTTCATCACTTACTACCACCTTGGCTGCTTTTATCATATTTGGTGGATAAAGCAACTGGATAAACTGCAGCATTGCGTTGTGCTTCTTCTCTGGCAGTGGTATAAATTCTGCCTTCGCCTCAGTAAACTGACCACACAGCATTGCTTTGAACACAGGACTCTGCAAACATAGAATTGATCTGTGGGCATGTATTTCCTTGTTTTCAACAACTAAAATCACGTCGCTATTACTCCATGGGGAAGCAAAAACATTTTCTCTTTGCGGTGGCGAAGATTGGCTTGATGAACAGGCCATTTCTCGATATATTTTCCAACAGAAACAGTACAAATATTTGCTATTTCAAAAGGAAATGGCGGCCATGTTCTTACTCGAAAGAGAGTCATTCACCCCCTGGAACATTAAATTACAATATGTTTTCAGGGGGTACCCTGCTGGCAGTGGTTTCTGCCGAGCTGCCAGCGGGGTATTCAGGGGGTTGACGGCCGCACAAATTACGTCGTTTCAAAATACATCAAATCATTTCACATTTCACATTTCAAATCGTTTCTAGGCCCTTCCCGATTATGCTAGCATAATTTTCAACATAATTTGGCTTAACGAGAATATTTTTTGCAATTGTTTTCAAAAAAAGAATGGCTAGCATAATTTAGCATTTACCCGCTAATTTCGTCTGCATTTTGGCGCTGTTAAAAAGCAAAACTTTTCATATTTTTGGCGTTCATGCAGTTTTAGTAAGCTTAAATAAAACTATAGTTCCTGTTCTATTTCCCCATAAAGTCAAAATAAAGTATGTTTTACTAATTTAATTTTAGTATCTGTGTATCTGATAATTCGATACGGTCGTAACGGTCGTACAAATCTGAAAGTGGAAGCACTGGCTAATTTAAAAAAAAAACAAGACAGAGTAACATACAGAGGCTTATCTCAGCGAATCAGGGTTTATTTTAACGTGCAGTTCTACACAAAATGTGCAATTCTAAACCCATTTGTGCAGTTCTTAAAACACAAATGTGCAGTCACCAAACTAACAAAAATAGCCTTAATTAAAACAGTCTTCTCATTTACTCGTTACCCTTGTGGATGTTTCAGAAAATTCCAGAAATGCTATCATTAATTGAGCAAAAAAATCTTCGATCCCCCCAGTCAAACACCTGTTGCCCTCGTAACATCCCTATATGTGCAGTTCCAAATTTTTCTTAAAATAAACCCTGCAGCGAATTGGCCGCCATGTTCTTAGTCCAGCCTCGTACCCAGGCGCAAGTAACTAAAAACCCCCGCGCGCTCGAGCCACTGATCTATATAAGAACACTGTAGTGTGCCCATTTATAGCGCCTGGGTACGAGGCTGTTCTTAGTCAGTAACTGAACATGCGCAGTTTACGTAAAAAGGCGGCCTCTCTTTACTGGACTGGCTAAGAGCATGGCACATTTAAAAAAAAAGCCCTTACGCCGACATCCAAGGTGCCGACATGTAGAGAAGCTTCTGTATGTACTTACTCTGTGGTTACAGGTCAGGCACGGAAGCACTAACGAGACCAGGGCGCCCTGAACGAGACAGGCCTGGCCAACTCCTGCACAAATTAAATTGCCCGAAAGCGATTGAAAAGTACATGTTGTTGTGCCTTGGCCCTTCGGTTATATCTATGTCTTCTAATTAAAGCCATTTTTTTTCAACCAAATAAGCATAATTTTGAAAAATGAGCACAATTTTGAAAAATGAGCATAATTTGAGCATAATTTTAGGAAATAACAAGCACTGCTATGAGCATAATATGCCAGTTTTACTAGCATAATCGGGAAGGGCCTAGTCGTTTCACATTTAGTTGAATCAGTTCACATTTAGTTGTATCGTTTCGCACTTAGCTGAATCGTTTCACATTAAATTGACTCGTTTTACATTTAGCTGAATCGTTTCACATGCATCATATTGAATCGTTTCACATCATATTGAATCGTTTCACACGGTTTATGCGCGATATACCAAGTCACGGGTGACGTCACAAGTCAAGAGTGACGTCACACCAATAGGAGATAATGGAATTATATCATTTCGTTTTGTTCTTTGTTTTTTAAATAATAAGTTTTAGCCACCTATTTGTTTTGGATCGTCAGGCTTTTTGGCTGGATGCATTTGGATCATTTGCTTTTTGTGGATCATTTGGATCATTTGCTTTTTGTGGATCATTTGGATCATTTGCTTTTTGTAGATCATTTGGATCATTTGCTTTTTGTGGATCATTTGGATCATTTGCTTTCTGTAGATCATTTGGATCATTTGCTTTTTGTAGATCATTTGAATCATTTCTTTTTGTGGATCATTTGATCATTTGCTTTTTGTGGATCATTTGATCATTTGCTTTTTGTAGATCATTGGGATCATTTGTTTTTGTGGATCATTTAGACAATTTGCTTTTTGTGGATCATTTGCTTTCTGTAGATCATTTGGATAATTTGCTTTCTGTAGATCATTTGGATCATTTGCTTTTTGTGGATCATTTGCTTTTTGTGGATCATTTGCTTTTTGTAGATCATTTGGATCATTTGCTTTCTGTAGATCATTTGGATCATTTGCTTTCTGTAGATCATTTGGATCATTTGCTTTCTGTAGATCATTTCGATTATTTGCTTTTTGCGGATCATTTGGATCATTTGCTTTTAGATCATTTGGATAATTTGCTTTTTGTAGATCATTTGATCATTTGCTTTTGTGGATAATTTGAATCATTTGCTTTTTGTAGATCATTTGGATCATTTGTTTTTGTGGATCATTTGGATCATTTGCTTTTGTGGATCATTTGGATCATTTGCTTTCTGTAGATCATTTGGATCATTTGCTTTTTGTGGATCATTTAGATCATTTGTTTTTTGTAGATCATTTGAATCATTTGCTTTTTGTAGATCATTTGAATCATTTGTTTTTGTGGATCATTTACATTTGCTTTTTGTGGATCATTTGATCATTTGCTTTTTGTAGATCATTATCATTTGTTTTTGTGAATCATTTAGACAATTTGCTTTTTGTGGATCATTTGCTTTTTGTAGATCATTTGGATAATTTGCTTTCTGTAGATCATTTGGAATTTGCTTTTTGTGGATCATTTGCTTTTTGTGGATCATTTGCTTTCTGTAGATCATTTGGATCATTTGCTTTTTGTAGATCATTTGGATCATTTGCTTTTTGTAGATCATTTGGATCATTTGCTTTTTATAGATCCTTTGGATCATTTGCTTTCTGTAGATCATTTGGATCATTTGCTTTCTGTAGATCATTTCGATTATTTGCTTTTTGTGGATCATTTGGATCATTTGCTTTTTATAGTGGATCATTTGGATAATTTGCTTTTTGTAGATCATTTGGATAATTTGCTTTTTGTAGATCATTTGTTTTTGTGGATCATTTGCTTTTGTGGATAATTTGAATCATTTGCTTTTTGTAGATCATTTGGATCATTTGTTTTTGCGGATCATTTAGACCATTTGCTTTTTGTGGATCATTTGGATCATTTGCTTTCTGTAGATCATTTGGATCATTTGCTTTTTGTGGATCATTTGAATCATTTGTTTTTTGTAGATCATTTGAATCATTTGCTTTTTGTAGATCATTTGAATCATTTGTTTTTGTGGATCATTTAGACCATTTGCTTTTTGTGGATCATTTGCTTTTTGTAGATCATTGGGATCATTTGTTTTTGTGGATCATTTAGACAATTTGCTTTTTGTGGATCATTTGCTTTTTGTGGATCATTTGCTTTCTGTAGATCATTTGGATAATTTGCTTTCTGTAGATCATTTGGATCATTTGCTTTTTGTGGATCATTCGGATCATTTGCTTTTTGTGGATCATTTGGATCATTTGCTTTCTGTAGATCATTTGGATCATTTGCTTTCTGTAGATCATTTCGATCATTTGCTTTCTGTAGATCATTTCGATTATTTGCTTTTTGTGGATCATTTGGATCATTTGCTTTTTATAGATCATTTGGATAATTTGCTTTTTGTAGATCATTTGTTTTTGTGGATCATTTGCTTTTGTGGATAATTTGAATCATTTGCTTTTTGTAGATCATTTGGATCATTTGTTTTTGTGGATCATTTAGACCATTTGCTTTTTGTGGATCATTTGGATCATTTACTTTTTGTGGATCATTTGCTTTCTGTAGATCATTTGGATCATTTGCTTTCTGTAGATCATTTGGATCATTTGCTTTTTGTGGATCATTTGGATCATTTGCTTTTTGTGGATCATTTGGATCATTTGCTTTTTGTGGATCATTTGGCTTTTTGTAGATCATTTGGATCATTTGCTTTTTGTGGATCATTTGGATCATTTGCTTTTTATAGATCATTTGGATCATTTGCTTTTTGTGGATCATTTGGATCATTTGCTTTTTGTAGATCATTTGGATCATTTGCTTTTTATAGATCATTTGGATCATTTGCTTTTTGTGGATCATTTGGATCATTTGCTTTTTGTAGATCATTTGGATCATTTGCTTTTTGTAGATCATTTGGATCATTTGCTTTTTGTGGATCATTTGAATCATTTGTTTTTGTAGATCATTTGAATCATTTGCTTTTTGTAGATCATTTGTTTTTGTGGATCATTTGCTTTTGTGGATCATTTGCTTTTGTGGATCATTTAGACCATTTGCTTTTTGTGGATCATTTAGACCATTTGCTTTTTGTGGATCATTTGCTTTTTGTGGATCATTTGCTTTCTGTAGATCATTTGGATAATTTGCTTTCTGTAGATCATTTGGATCATTTGCTTTTTGTGGATCATTCGGATCATTTGCTTTTTATAGATCATTTGGATCATTTGCTTTCTGTAGATCATTTGGATCATTTGCTTTCTGTAGATCATTTCGATTATTTGCTTTTTGTGGATCATTTGGATCATTTGCTTTTTATAGATCATTTGGATCATTTGCTTTTTATAGATCATTTGGATAATTTGCTTTTTGCAGATCATTTGTTTTTGTGGATCATTTGCTTTTGTGGATAATTTGAATCATTTGCTTTTTGTAGATCATTTGGATCATTTGTTTTTGTGGATCATTTAGACCATTTGCTTTTTGTGGATCATTTGGATCATTTACTTTTTGTGGATCATTTGCTTTCTGTAGATCATTTGGATCATTTGCTTTTTGTGGATCATTTGGATCATTTGCTTTTTGTGGATCATTTGGATCATTTGCTTTTTGTGGATCATTTGGATCATTTGCTTTTTGTGGATCATTTGGATCATTTGCTTTTTGTGGATCATTTAGATCATTTGCTTTTTGTAGATCATTTGGATCATTTGCTTTTTGCAGATCATTTGGATCATTTGCTTTTGTAGATCATTTGGATCATTTGCTTTTTGTAGATCATTTGGATCATTTGCTTTTTGTGGATCATTTGGATCATTTGCTTTTTGTGGATCATTTGGATCATTTGCTTTTTGTAGATCATTTGGATAATTTGCTTTTTGTGGATCATTTGGATCATTTGCTTTTTGTGGATCATTTGGATCATTTGCTTTTTATAGATCATTTGGATCATTTGCTTTTTGTGGATCATTTGGATCATTTGCTTTTTGTGGATCATTTGGATCATTTGCTTTTTGTGGATCATTTGGATCATTTGCTTTTTGTGGATCATTTGGATCATTTGTTTTTTGTGGATCATTTGGATCATTTGCTTTTTGTGGATCATTTGGATCATTTGCAATTCAATCCGCCAGGCGCCAGAACAAAAATCAAACTTGCGCGTACGGCGCAACCAGCATTATATAAACAATCAGTCATCTGTAGGTACTATTGCGGTGCAGGGGACGTTTAAGCGATAAATAGTACTGTATTATTTAAAATAAAACTTTTGATATAAACGTTTAGTTGCTTTCTTGCGATATACAAAATCCAGGCTGGTGGTCCGTTAATTTGTTTAGAAATAGATCTAATTACATGTGTTCGAAGCTTTCAACACGACACTGAGACTGAAAGACTTGAAAATATTGTTAGGCTAGCAAGCTATTTTCGTTGGTTTCAAACAAACGAGCGTAGTTAGCGTCTATGAGGATGACATATGTGCAGCCTTGCCGCAGTGTTTCCGTGTGTGAGCGACAGTGTCGAAACACAATAGTTATGTATTGGATTCTTAATCACACCTGCATGTGATACACTCGCGACTAAGTCATGCTTTAGATGTCATTCGAATATGGCAACAAAAGTGACTTGTTGTTTGTGGGGTTTTTTATCAGTATTTTAACGTGCTATTTGTCAAATTCGCGTGTGCTGGTCCCATAGTAAAGTCGTGGGTTAAATTTTATCAAGTTATGCATTGAGAATTGCGAGAAAAAGCCAGACGAAACGCAAGTTCTTATTTGCCCAGAAGGTAGCCCTTTTTTTTCCAACATAACTGGATAAACAACGTTATTCCTTCAGTCATCTTGTGGAACCCACTGTTTCATACAAACAACTTTGGTCAAATAACATGCCCCAATTGTCACTCTGCACTAAGGCACTGGAAATGGAAAGATGGTAGCAACGATAGGAACAATAATGTATTTGTGCGTTTCCCATGATCCCGAATCATTACGAGTCAGAAAACAGATTCAAATTCCTGTTGTACTATTTCATAAATCCGGTGTTTCAAAAGATCTCTTCGATTATATAGGATCACTATTCAAATTAGAATAACTATAGATGTTGAAATTATGGGTTATTGAATTATTTAAAGTATATTATGGTCAAATCATATCCAACTTCCACGTGTTTGCGCCATACACTGTGTATACATAATGTTCTGTTTCACAAAAGGCTCGCTTAAATACTTTAGATATTAATTCAATTATTCAATAAAATCTTTTCCGATTGTATATAATGGTTGTATCTATCCCTGTTGCATGTGGTCAACATTTCGGGTGGATTTTGGTGTGTTATGTAGCAAGAACTGCGTCAAGGAATGTAAGTGTATTAGGCTAACATAATTTCAACATCATCTATAGTTATTCTAGTTTGAAGATTTATACATCTATAGTTATTCTAGTTTGAATAGTGATCCTATATAATCGAAGGAGTGTCCCTATATGTCGTGTGGCGTGTGTCGTGGGTTAAAAGTCGTGTGTCGTGAGTAAAGTCGTGGGTAAAGTCTTTGGTAAAGTCGTGGGTCATAAAATGTGCCGAAAACGCATTTTTTTCACGAAAATATTATTTTTATTTTTAATATTTTTTTCGTACTTTTTTCCATTTATGCGCTAGATAAATACAGGAAAATTTAACGCAACAAATCTCCATGCAGTAATAAAGTAAAATACATGCTGTTTTCTTATCTTGCTGTTATCTATATAGTATAACAAGTACTGAAATGTTTCCGTTTCGTATAGTCTAATAAGTCTATAGATGTATTGTTTGATGATAAAATGTCTTAAGTTATAGGATATAGGTTTATTAGCTTTGGAAGTGTGATAGTCCCTATCATGAACGTCGCGAATGTAACTATGTCGATTGCATATGTCTGATACAAACATATTGATTGAGCTATAAATTCTACGCTGTCGGTGGCCAACGCTCGAGCCTCAAATTTTTCTATTTTTATCTCCTAGTATATGTTCGTGGCCCTTAAAGATAGACAAACATTTCATGTTTATGTGGCGTTCGGAAATATTCCATAAATTGCTACGATTTGGGATTTTGCGATTGAAAACCGAAATGATTTGTGCGATGTCGGGCTATTTGCCAACCGAGCGCGCTAGCCGCTGTTATTTTGACAGAATATGATACCTCTACACTTTTCAGCCGTAATACATAATGCGCGCATTGTAATCATATACATATCGTTTAATTTAGCTTCAAAAACTTGATAAAAAATCAAAATTGCTGTATTTTGTTAAATGTGCGCAGCATGTTGTTTCGACACTGTCGCTCACACACGGAAACACTGCAAGGCTGCAAATATGTCACACAATCATCCTCATAGACGCTGACTACGCTCGTTTGTTTTAAACCAACCAAAATAGCTTCCTAGTCTAACGCTGCTACGCAAATATTTTCTGTTCGTTAAATTTGTAGTTTAGCTATATTTTCAGGTCTTTCAGTCTCAGTGTCGTGTTGAAAGCTTCGAACACATGTACTTAAGTCTATTTCTAAATAACGGACCACCAGCCGCATGGATTTCGTATATCGCAAGAAAGCAACTAAACGTTTATATCAAAAGCTTTATTTTAAATAATACAGTACTATTTATCGCTTAAACGTCCCCTGCACCGCAATAGTACCTACAGATGACTAATTGTTTATATAATGCTGGTTGCGCCGTACGCGCAAGTTTGATTTTTGTTCTGGCGCCTGGCGGATTGAATTGCAAATGATCCAAATGATCCACAAAAAGCAAATGATCCAAATGATCCACAAAAAGCAAATGATCCAAATGATCTACAAAAAGCAAATGATCCAAATGATCTACAAAAAGCAAATGATCCAAATGATCCACAAAAAGCAAATGATCTAAATGATCCACAAAAAGCAAATGATCCAAATAATCCACAAAAAGCAAATGATCCAAATGATCCACAAAAAGCAAATGATCCAAATGGTCTACAAAAAGCAAATGATCCAAATGGTCTACAAAAAGCAAATGATCCAAATGGTCTACAAAAAGGAAATTATCCAAATGGTTATACAAAAAGCAAATGATCTAAAATGATCCACAAAAAGCAAATGATCCAAATGATCCACAAAAAGCAAATGATCCAAATGATCCACAAAAGCAAATGATCCAAATGATCCACAAAAGCAAATGATCAAAATGATCCACAAAAGCAAATGATCCAAATGCACCAGCCAAAAAGCAAATGATCCGAATGATCTACAAAAAGGAAACGATCCAAATGCACCAGCCAAAAAGCCTGACGATCCAAAACAAATAGGTAGCTAAAACTAGTATTATTTAAAAAAACAAAGAACAAAACGAAATGATATAACTCCATTATCTCCTATTGGTGTGACGTCACTCTTGACTTGTGACGTCACTCGTGACTTGGTATATCGCGCATAAACCTGTTCAACACTCGAAATAAATCTGGTATTTCCGCGCACCCATGTATTATTCTCTATGTAATTCTTTTTGTTTGTAAATACACAGGAAATTTTTCAACGCATGAAATACAAGAGGACATTTTTTAATCTCACTGAATTCAGTGTCTAAAATGCCGTTGGAAGGTTGGGGGGGGGGGGGGGGG